TGGAAAGAGTGAAGGAGCTGCAAGCCGAACAAGAGGATCGGGTAAGGCCTGTGCCTGTCCTTCTTCCTTCCAGCCAAACAAGGCTTCAGTCTCTGGGTGTTCCTTTCAGAAGTTGCACAGACTCCTGGAACTACTCATCTTAGGTGCTCTGCAGGTGTGGAGTGCTCGTAAGTGGGTTACCCAAATGTAACTCATTTAACATGAACTGACAGGAAAATTTTCAGATTCTACTTTTAGGTAACTGGACTGTCCAGGGCTCTATCATACTTTGATGTACCTTTGAGACACTGCAGGGTGGGAATCTCACTGTGCTAGAGTCTTTCTGTACCTATTCTCATTGAATCCTTATCACAGCTCTGAATAAATAGGTGAGGGATGAGTTGGATGATTGTTTGCTGCTGAACTTGGCAGAAGCACAAAGCCCCAGCATATGGATGTCTTGGGTGCTCTTCTGTAGCCACATGCACTCAAGCACGACCCTGCAGAATCTGTTCTGCACATCTCAGAAGCCAGAAGGAAACACTGGGACTTAGATGAACGTCAGTGGACCAGCCATGGTATGTTCCCTGCTGTTGTATCTCACTCTGTTTCTCCTGTTCCAGGCCTTGCGAAGCTTCAAGCTGACAGTCACTGTGGATCCCAAGTATCACCCTAAAATCATTGGGCGGAAGGGAGCGGTGATCACCCAGATACGCACAGAGCATGAGGTCAACATCCAGTTCCCTGACAAGGATGATGAAAGCCAGGTGAGAGGTCAGAGGGGGTGCAAGGAGGGCTGCTGGTTGTCTCTGAGCGTAGGAAAGACAGCATCTTCTCTAGGGCTCTGAACTCTCTGCACTGCCTTTGGATAAGGCGGAGGGTGAAAAGGATTAGCAGGGAGAAGGCTTGCTCAGCTGCTTATGAGCCTGATTTCTCACATATTTCCCTGTTCCCAGGCCCAAGACCAGATCACCATCACTGGCTATGAGAAGAATGCCTAGGCAGCCCGGGATGCCATCATGAAGATCGTTGGCGAACTGGAGCAGATGGTCTCTGAGGATGTGACTCTGGACCATCGTGTTCACGCACGCATCATTGGTGCACGTGGTAAAGCCATCCGCAAAATCATGGATGAGTTCAAGGTGAGCGGTGGGGCGATGCAGCAGAGGTTGGGCTGGTCCTGGGTGGCCAGTGGTGCTCCTGTGCAAAGAGCTTGGTAGCAGCTTTGTGCTTTATTCCTGAATTGAGGAACATGAGGCTCACATCCTGTGGTCCTTGTGTCTTGTGCTTGTTGAGCACCTTCAGCTGGAACAGGCACAAAGGAAAAGCCAGTGCTGTCCTGCTCTGTCACTACAAGCATGTGAGCAGAGTCCCTGGGCCAGGGCACCCCTATGCCCTGGGCAGCTGGGCTGTCTGGGCACCGCACCCAGGCACCAGCTGAAGCATCCCCGCACGACCTCAGCTGTGAGTCACCCTTCTTCTGGGAGCTAGGCAGGGAGGAGGCTGAGCCCTTCCCATCTTGCTGGCACACAACTAGAAGAGGAACCTGGAAATACTTCCTTGGTGCTCTGGGTTATCCCTGCAAACAGCACTGACCTCAGTCCCTCTGTGCAGCCCTTCTAGTGGGTTTCTTGCAGACAGGGTCCCTCAGGGTCCTCAAAGGGAGGAGGTGGTTCTGTCAGCTACTCTGATTACTGGAAGTGGACAGCCAGGCCTACTGCTGGGGGGGTCTGGGAGGAGACTGTGCCCACACCCCCTCAGCTTGAGCTTAACTCAAGGAAATCCTCTGGATTTCTTTGTCTCTCTAGGGCAGTGTTGCTTCCCTTGACTTTGGGAATCTTGACACGCTCTCAGGGCTCTAGATTTGGCAAAGTCTGTTGATGCTGGGAAGTGCAGGGACCTTTGCCCCGACAGCGTATGGCGGTAGCAGCGTGCTTAACTACAGGGGCAGCAGTGAATGTGAACCCAGAGCAACGAGGCTTTGGAGACTTCTATCTTGGCTGGGCTCAGTTGTTGAAACAAGCTGTTTGGTTCCCAAATAAGCAGCCTTTGGTTTTGGTCCTGTCTTGTGTGGCTTCCCTGCACCCATCTGGAAGGCAAGCTGTGAGAGAGCTCAGTGGCTGGGTGTGGGGTGCACTAAGCCAGCTCCATAGAGTAATCCTGGCTGACAATTGCTTTATCTGTGGAGGAGACAGAAGGCTTATTGTGCTTCATGCTAATGGCTTGATGGTGAAAATGCTGGCAGCAGTGTGAGAATGCTGTCTGGAAATGCAGCCCTCTTTTGCCTCTGCTGCAAGTGCTGTGCAGAAAGCAGTGAGCCTCTGGGCAGTGAGAACAGCAGGGCTGCTGTGGAAGATGGGTCGTTACTGCAAACTCTGCTCTGCCTTCCTTTATGGGGGTATATTCCAGTGCACCCCCCCAGCATCTCAACCACGGAGGTCCTAAACAGACTTGCGGCCCTGAACAGATCAGGGCTTTTCTCTTCTGTGAATCTAATGACAAGGGTTGTGGGGAGTCTGTGGCTTTTCGGATGTGCAGGTGTAAGTCCTATCCAATTCCTTGTGTTGCAGGTGGATATTCGCTTTCCCCAGAGTGGAGCTCCTGACCCCAACTGTGTGACTGTGACAGGACTCCCCGAGAATGTGGAAGAAGCTATTGATCACATCCTGAACTTGGAGGAGGAGTATGTAAGTGTTCAGCAAGTCTGTGCAGGGGCTTAGCAAGGATTTCCTCTGCTACAGAGCTGATGTCTGAAGTATCTCCATGTTCTACCACTGCATTGGAGAACTGGAACCCTGTGAAGGTGGCAGTCAGCCCTCATCTGCAGCTGTCCCTCAGAGCAGCTGGGCACAGAGCCCCAGGCTGTGCTCTGCAAAGCAGTGCAGGGACTGGTCCCACTGTCCAGGAGAGGACAGTGAATGAGAATGCTGGAACACCACTGGGATGGGCACATGTTGCCTTGCTGCAGCTTGCATCAGTTAGGAGTTGGTGGCCCTCGGACTAGTGCAGAAACACTGTGTTTGGTCACTGTAGAGCAGACTGGTGACCTTGGATGGGTTTCAGTGTGGTGAGATGGGAGGCAGGCGTGTAATACCAGTCTGAGGAACTATCAAGATTCCACCCCCTAACTGGGCTGTGTCACTGCAGCTTGCAGATGTGGTGGACAACGAGGCGATGCAGGTGTATATGAAGCCCTCTTCACATGAAGAATCCAAGGCTCCATCCAAGGGCTTTGTGGTGAGAGATGCTCCCTGGGCCACTGTCAACAACGAAAAGGTGAGTGTTGCTTCTGCCCCGGGCCTGGGGGCGCAGGGCGTGTGGCACCCTCTGCCAAGGGCTTGCTCTGAGGTCTGGCCTTCCTGTCTGGGCTGGGGAGACAGAGCACTCTCCCTCCCGTGGTGGCAGAGAAAGCAGTGAAGGGCCTTCCTGGTCTTTGTGGCCCGTGCAAGCTGAGAGCGGGCCTGGGCTCTGCCTCTCTGCCTTCCAAAGCCCTTGCTGTCTCTTTCTTCCAAACGTCTTGCCCACACTGACTACCCCACTGTGGAGCCATGGGGAATGGGGGGACCCTTACCAGAAGGTGCCCTGCCAGGTCGCGTTGCTTTTAAGGGTAGGGATGGGGCCCTGGGACTTCTGACTCTTCTGCTGAGGCACAGAACTGGCTCGATGTTTGCGGCTGTGCTCTGGCTGGGAGCAGCGAGCTGGGGCGCATGGTGGCTCTGTCCTCAGCTGCCCTGGTGCCGCTGCAGGACTGGCCTGACCCCACTGCAGTGTCCGAGTTCCTGAGACTGGGCCCTCGGAGCCCTCGATCCGCCTGCCATTTGCTCCTATCTGCACCCTCCCAAATGGCATCTCTAGACGGCTTGACCATCCACCCGGGGCAGTCCTGAGGACATAATGATACTTTTTGGCCCTCACCCGTTGTCTCTGCTCATGGGACATCAGAAATGCTGCTTAGCTCAGGGGCGCACCATGCAGGTTGGCAGCAGGGCAGGAGCTTAACTTGTTCCCTTTTTGTTTGCTCTAGGCCCCTGATATGAGCAGTTCTGAAGACTTCCCCAGCTTTGGGGCTCAAGTGGCCCCCAAGACTCTTCCCTGGGGACCCAAACGATAATGACCTGGAAGCAGAAACTCCTCCAGCCCGCTGACCTGACACTAACCTGCCACAAATACTTCCTGTCTGAAATCTGACCCAGCGGCTGGAGCACAAGTCAATTGCCCCAAGAGGTCTCCTAATGGTGTCTGGAGTGCTAGACCCCATCCTGCTCCCCTCAGCTATCACCGTGGCTAGGACCCACCCTCATCTCTTGATGGATATTCTTTCCTCCTTTGGAACAAGACTTCCACTCAGATTCAAACACTAAATGTGTGTGGTTTTGTTAGAAATTTCATGATTGACTCAAAGTGGCTAAGATTTGCAGCTTCCCAAGCGCTAGCAGAGCAATCTGCTCTCTTGAGCATGTCTTACTAGGCATTCTCGCCTTCATTAGGAGACCTCCTTTACTGTGGCTAGGAATCTACTTCCTGTCTCATGACCTCAGGAAATAAATTTCCTTGACTTTCTAAAGCCAAAACGTTTGCCCTCTTTCCTTTGTGTTTATCCCAGGCCTTACCTTACCTTTGTAGAGTGCAATCAACTTTTTTTCCTTTTAACTGCCAAAAATTCATTTAATGCTGATAGCTGACTGTGGGGAGAGCTTAAAATAATCTAAAAGGTCAGAAACTTGCTTTTTAAAGGAACAAAACCTTCACTAGGCTGTAGAGGCAGCAGAGATGGAAGGGACCAGAACAACGTACGGCTACCCTGGTCAGGTAAACGCTTCTGAGCACAGCGCGTACCGAGCGTGCCCTCGCGCCACACCAAACACAGCCCAGCCTGCATGCTTGACAAGTCTTCCAGCGTGCGATGACGGACCCCGTTCACCCTTCCCAACAGCCAGCAGTGTGAGCAGGCAGGCGAGCCAGCACGTGACGATGTTACCGGATGGGGCAGATTTGGGTCGGCCGAGGGTGCTGCAGTGGCGTGGCCCAGGAGGAGCTGGTGGGAAGCAACAGCCTTGAGAAGCTCTAGTCCTGTGCTCGCACCGCAGCGTCTAGGCATGAGCGGTAGGGACACCTATTACTATTGCCTTCTTTCTACCTCAAAAGTCAGTACGATGGTGGCCTCTCAGTGTAAGGGCGTAAGCAGCTGTTCCAGCTCTTGCCCTGGCACCCAGAGCGGAAGCGTGGAGGAGAAGCACAAGGAGCCTTTTGTCTCCGAGCGGCTGTGGGAGCTCCTCCGGAGGGAAGCTGAGCACAGTGACGATGAGGCAGGCTGTGAATCGGAACCATAGGGCTGCTTGCTGAGCTAGAACAGGGCTCGGCCCCAAGGCCATAGGCGCAGCCTTGCCGCAGCCCTCGGCTGCAGAGGTTGTGAGCCAGGCTTCTGCTCTGATGGCACTGGGGGCCTGACGGTGTCGTGCGTTGAGCCCTCCCCGAGGCCTCCATCGTATGGGCGGTAGAGGGTGATCCACGCTCTGTACTCTGGGCCGCTTGCATCTAGGCCCTGCCACGGCTTGTGTGAAGGGGGCTGCGTCCAAGCTCCTCCAGCCAGTAAGAGGAAAACCATGTCTTTGTGGAGGGAGGCAGGGAGCGTGGGGTTTCTGTGTTCCCTCCTTTCCCTGCCTCGGTCCTACAGAGGTTGTAGTCTGAGCCATTCCTCTATCCCAGCTGCTTCAGCTCTTGGACAAGCAGGAGTCCCTAGGCTCTTCTCTAGTGCTGCTTACGGAGCAAAGGCCCAAAACCCTGGCAGGCTGAGCCCAGCGTTCTTGCCTTTCCCTCTGTCTGGCAGGCCTGACATGCTGACGCTTCTCCTTCCCGTGCCAGCTCTTCTTGGAAGAGGCTGCTATGCAGAAGTTGAACCAAAACCTCACAGTGCTCTCCTTAAGTCTGAGAAACGACTGAAGCTGACCATGGCCCGTTGCAGGGCACCTGGCTGCCCCCGAAGGACAGGGTGGCCTTGCCTCCGGCACAGGAGACAGGGTGGGTCAGACAGAACTAGGGTGACACCTTCCCATCTGCGTCTGTCAGAAAATGGTTATTTACCCCTGTAGCTTAGGTCTGTCCTACATCACCAAGCCTATCGCCCCCCCCCACCCCCTTC